ATCTTTTAGATCGGGTGCAGGGTTGCAAGTATTTCTCAAAAATAGATTTCAAGTCCAGATACCATCAGATAGAGGTCCATCCCGATGACTGGTAAAAAACTGCGTTCCAGACTAGATATGGGCATTATGAGTTTATATTGATGCCCTTTGGACTGACCAATACGCCAACTACATTTCAGCGATGTACGAATGATCTGTTTAGGCCTTGGTTAGACAGATTTGTCATAGTGTATCTAGACGATATCCTAGTGTTCCGTAGGACCCTCCAAGAGCACCAAGGTCATTTGAGGCAGGTCTTGGAGAAGCTGAGAGAGGCTAACTTCAAGATCAATGCGAAGAAGTGCGAGTGGGCCAAGAGACAAATCTTGTACTTGGGCCACGTGTTAGACAAAGATGGCATTAAACCTGAGGACAGCAAGATAGCGGCAATTAGAGACTGGCCAACGCCCCATACATTGACACAGTTGCGGTCGTTCCTAGGCCTAACTATCACAGGAAGTTCGTGAGGAACTTCTCGATTATCACCACTCCCCTTCGCAGGTTGCTCAAGAAAGAGGCAATCTAGCAATGGGATAAAGATTGCACGTCTGCGCTAAAGAAATTGAAGCGCGCGTTGATAGAGTACCCTGTCCTCAAAGTAGCAGATTCGTCCTTGCCATTCGTCGTCACCACGGGCACCAGTCAGTATGGGATAGGCGGCGTGTTACAGCAGGACGACGGCAATGGCTACAGACCCGTAGAGTTCATGTCAGCAAGGATGCCCTCAGAGAAGGTTGCTACCTCGACGTATGAGAGGGAACTCTACGCTCTCAAGAAGGCTTTAGAGCACTGGAAGCATTACCTGCTTGGGAGGCACTTCAAGGTGTATTCAGACCATGAGACGCTTAGATGGCTGAAGACACAGGCCAAAATGACACCTAAGTTGACTAGGTGGGCCGCTGAGATAGACCAGTACGACTTTGAGCTCAAGCCAATTAAGACCAAGTATAATGTAGTTGCGGATGCTCTGAGTAGGAGATCGGACTACTTTGGAGCTATAGTTCACTATCTGGACATAGGGAGTGACCTGCAGGAGATAGTTAGACAGGCGTATGCGCAGGACCCTATCTATAGTGACCTCCTCAAGAGAGTCAAGGAGGCCCCAGAGACTGAGCCACATTACCGCACTACAGAGGGGTTGCTATTTGAGAAGACTAATGTAGTAGACCGTTTGTGCATTCCTAATAGTGAGGAGATCCCTAGTCTAATCCTAGGGGAATGCCACGACACTGAGGGACACTTTGGTTGGCAAAAGACGCTAGCCAACCTGATGCATGCGTATACATGGCCAGGAATGAACAACGATTGCATAGAGTATGTCCGCACTTGTAAAGTCTGTCAGAGTAACAAGAGCACTACGCGTGCCCCTCGAGGTCTTCTCATACCCTTGCCTATTCCTGATCACCCAGGAGATTCAGTGTCCATTGACCTCATGGATACCCAGGTCAAGAGTAGGCACGACAAGAGCCAAGTCATGGTCATAAGTGATAGATTTAGCAAGTATGTTGTTTTTGTTCCTTTGCCTGCAGAGGCCCGTACTGAGTTAGAAATTTAGAAGTTTTCTGATTTCTGGGTTAGTGAGCATGGAGTCCCGTTGTCTATGGTCAGCGATAGAGATAACTGCTTAACTAGCCAGAACTGGCAGGAGCTGATGAAAGTCTATGGATCTAAGTTGTTGATGTCGTCTGACCGCCATCCAGAGACTAACAGTCAGACAGAGCAGATGAACAAGATCCTGCAACAAGTTCTGCGCATGTACATTCGACCCGATCAGATCAACTTGGACGAGATGTTACCCAAGGTAGCCAGTGTGTACAATAACAGCGTGCACTTGTCCACCTGTGGCACTCCCAATGAGCTGCACAAGTCCTTTAGACCGCACAGGCCGTTTGAAGGGCTTAACCGGGATCAGATTCATAGGCTACCGCCCAGTACCAGGGAGTTTGCAATACAGCATGAGAGAGAGATAACCACTGTTATTGAGAACCTCAGGAAGGTCCAACACCGAATGATAGAACAGGCTAATAAGCATCGTCGCCCGTCACAATTTCAGGTAGGCGACCTGGTCTGGGTCAAGTCTAAGGAGTTTGCTCCTGAGGAAAACATCTCGCAGAAGTTACTCCCCGAGTATAGAGGACCGTGGCCAGTTCAAGAAGTTAAGGGTGGAGAAGATGGGCCGTCCTATACAGTAGAGATCCCAACACACCTCCACACCTACCCTGTATTTCATGCCTCAAAGTTATTCCCGTGTGTCACAAGTCAACAGTTTCCATCTAGGAGATCCATGATCCCTCCAGACATGGATGGAAGGTACGACATTGACGGCATTGTAAGTGAAGATGTGTTCAGAACAGGAGGTAGAGGCCGTCCACAGAACCAGTATAAGGTCCGGTTTGCTTACCAGGAACCGGAGGACGACCGCTGGTTTACTAGAGCAGAACTTCTAGAAACAGCTCCTGACATAGTTAGAGCCTACGAGAGAGATAAGAAAGGTAAAGGTCCTGCCTTGGACTGAGTTATTCTCGGAGGACCTCGAATTTAGGCCGGCGGGAGTGAAACCGTATTCACCAGTTCGCAGTAGCCGATGCAGATCCTAGGGCTCGATCCCTAGTCCCCACCTTACCTGTGTACAGTATCTGTGTCGACCCCTAGAGTTGAACCTGTGACCTGTGTAGTTGTAACAGTTGGTAGACTGTCGTAGGGTCCGTAGGCAGTAGGGGTTCTATCCGTAGACCTGTCGGGTAGGAGTCCTAGCAGGGTCTAGAAGTTGTAGTTGTAGCTTTCCCGAAAGGTCAAGGTCGTAGCTGCTACAGTCCAGAAAGGTCAAGGTCATAGCTGCTACACTATCGAAAGGCCAAGTCTACGGCCTTCCGGAAGGTCCGAGTAGTGGCCTTTCGAAGCTGCCCATGTTAAGGCCGAGGCAAGTGGGCAAGTGGTGGAGTCTACCCGTGCTGAGTCAGCAGTCCCAGCCCCAGTCAGTCCTGGTCCAGTCAAGCAAGTACCGCATGGGACTGTGTGCACTACGGGCATGGGAAAAGGCCAGACCAACGAGCCACAGAAGTATAAATCAAGAGGCAGCGCCCAGCCATTGATTCATTCTTGCGTGAGCCATGCGGAAGCGCTGCCACAGCGACTTGTGCGAGGTGGTCTGCAGTGAGCTCGAAGACGAAGTGGGCAAGAGAGAGGAAGCTTAGCCATAGCGATAGGGTAGTAGCGGCCATAGCCGCCATAGCTGTAGATAGCGTTCAGCGTGTGAGTGTGTGAGTGTGATATATTGCGCAGCCACACGGGCCTGCAGGGCCTGTCCCGCAGTCTCAGCCTAAAAGCCTAGGAACAAGGGCTTACAGGCCCCGTGTCGTTTCAGCCTGAAAGACTGAAAAACGAGGGCCTGCAGGCCCTATGTCGTTTCAGCCTAAAACAGGGCCTTTCAGGCCCTGAGTCTNAAAACGAGGGCCTGCAGGCCCTATGTCGTTTCAGCCTAAAACAGGGCCTTTCAGGCCCTGAGTCTTTTCAGCCTGAAACGGAGGGCCACTTTCGGCCCCTCATAAGATCGACCTGCCCTAACACTCAGGCACCAAACCAGGGTTTCGGAACAGGCTATTTTTGGCCTGTTCCCCACACCAGCCTCAACAGGAGCTGCAGCGGCAGGCCCTGGCTCACTTCGGCATTGGCGAGAACAGCCTCCTGGACTGCCCCGCCCTGCAGCTGTAGGCAGTCAGGAGGCAGGCCGAGTAGTACATAGGGAGTTCCCATGCACTTCACGGGCAGTCACAGGCCGAGGCAGTAGTAGTCTTCAGGATTCGGCAGCAGCACTCTCGAGGAGCGCTGCAGGAGTAGCTTAGCGCTTGCAGTAGTCTTCAGCGCTGGGCGCTAGTAGCAGTAGCAGTAGTCTTCAGCGCTGGGCGCTAGTAGAGGTAGAGGAGGTGAGAGAGAGAGAGCTGGCTGGCGGAGGCCAGAGAGACTTACCTGTGGCGCCATAGCACCAGCTTCATCTTCAAGGTACCTGCATCGAGGCGCCAACTTCACAGGTTAGTACCGGACTAAGAGAGAGAGAGAGAGAGAGAGAGTTCTTCTTCTTCCTCTTCTAAGTCCACCATCTCTTCTTCACCCTCTCACTACCTGACTTCTCAGTATCAGCGGACTACGACAGAGAGAGAGAATTGTGACTTGAGACTTGACGACATTGGATCCAGACTCGACATTGGGATTCAGACATTTTGACGAGGGACTATTTGGGCCTGTGCCGAAGACTTGGTGTTGACGACATTCCCATCTTCCCCTCTTCTTCGTCTAACCCCCCTCTTCTTCGTATGTGTATGGTTGGGGATTGGCGCATTCTTCCTGTGTGAGCGCCAGGCCCCTTCACACCATGGAGCGATGATGATGATGTATGTTCGGGGCTCCATTGCAATATTGATTGTTCGGATCATTTGTATCTAAGTCTTCCGCTATGCTATCTTGTACTTTGTGAGAGAGGTCGGTTCTTGTTCTGGTCTGCACTGTTACAGTATGCAACAGTTTGGTATCGGAGCGGACCTCTCAATCAGAGGACCCGCTCAATCAAGTAGCCAGCTTGCTTGATCTATTTATTACTCATTAGTAAAACAAGTAGGGGACTTCGTCAAATCTCTGGAAAAAAAAAAATTCTCGCAACAAATATCTGAAAGTTTCTGATAATCGCATTTCGTTTTACCTGAAAATTTCTGATATTAGTATTTCGTTTTCACGCAACAAATATCTGAAAATTTCTGATAATCGCATCGCATTTTTGTGAAAGCCGAAACATTGCGGAACCTGGCCTAGATCTCGCTCATAGTACTCTTCTGAAATACCTCACTCATAACAGATCGACAGACATAAAAAAAAAGGGGGGGGGGTGATCCTCTTCCTTTTATTTTTTATTTATTTTATTATGTTGATTAGGACCGGGAGGAAAGTATAGCTTGGTTGGTTACCTACCTGCGTTTTCCCTCCCACCCACCCCTTTGCCTGCATTCCCGGTTTGGTATAGTGCCACGTTAGCAACAGTGCCATGTCAGCAGTGCCATGTCAGAACAGTGTCACGTCAGCAGTGCCACAGTGCCACGCCAGCAGTACCACAGTGCACGTCAGAAGTGCCCCGCCACCATGACGGGCTCAGCTCTGGGCATGCCAGGCCAACTGGCCAATGAGTCCATTGCCGAGTACCGACAGCGTTTCGAAGCACTGATCGAGGCTGAGGAACAGCGCCAGGCGGCGGCCGAGGCTGCCTGCCTACAAGCTGAGGCGGCGGCCGAGGCTGCCTGCCTACAAGCTGAGGCGGCGGCAACAGTTGAAAAGCAGCGGCTTCAAGCCGAAGCCGAAGCAGACACCCAGGCACGGAGCAAGGAGGCCCAGGATCTGTTACAGCGGCATGAAGCCACCAGCATCGAAAGCTCAAGTTTTGGCATTTTGAACCATTTGAGCAGCACGACGATGCGACATTGGAAGAGCAGCACAAGGAGTTCCTAGCCAAACTCGTGACCCGGTTGGTTTACACTTGTAACCACCTGCAGTCCCGAGCTGGTGAATCTCCGACGGGCGGTGCGGAACCACAAGGATCTGCACGAGGATGCTACACGGGCACTTGATTCCCGTGTACAGGACTTGGAGCAATCTGCACCAAGACCAGATGCTGGCGAGTCCAGAAGTGCACCCTCTACCCGCCAATTGGAGGAACGAGTTGACCACGTCGCTCGGCGACATCAGCACCTTCGCTGCACCAGCCACCATCAGCAAGCAGCTGGACACCTTGAAGACCGAGGTTCAACAACTGCACCAGCTGCCCAACAAGGATGGCAACACCACGCAGCACTACAAGATGCCGACATTCCGCATCGAAAAGTTCGATGATTATACGCATCAAGACCCGGTCCCCTGGTGGGAGGGCTTTACGACGGAACTTCGAATTCTTTTCGTCCCCGAGCACTCGTACATCGGCGCGTTGTTCCTCAACTCAAAGGGCGGATGCCAGATCTGGCTTAGCCACCTGGCAACCATCCACGGCGTTGATGTCGCCGATCTGCACACGAAGATACCTTGGGCAGATCTGACGAAGCTATGGAAGAAGCGGTTCATCGTGGACGACGCCCCGACACTCGCCATCAACCGTCTCTTCGCTATGACGCAAGGCAACACATTGACATGCGACTGGCTCACGGAATGGCAAAAGATTGCGGCGACGCCGGATCTCGAATTGCCATTTTCGCATCTGCGTCGGGAGTTCTACAACCGGTCATGTGCCGCCTTGAGCCTTGCACTTGGTGATCGCGAGCAATACGTGACCTTCGCCGAAATCATCGACAAGGCAGGGGAGATCATCAAGACCAATAGGGCGGTTGCACACGAGAAGTCGGCATGGTAGCCAACCTATGTGGAGAAAGGAAAATTTGGTCCGCGTCAGCAGCATGTCGCTGCAGTCCACACGGACAACATTGTGGAAGATCCGGCAGCCACCCAAGCATCACGTGAGGGAGATCAGGTGGCTGATGTCCAGCCGCGAAGCAACAATAACTCCCGAGGAAAAGGGAAGGCGAAAACCGCATCGCCGACCGGAAACGGACAGCCAGCACCATGGGTCAAGTTTAACTTGACCGAGGCCGAATACAAGTGGCGAGATCGCTACGACTGCTGCTATTGGTGCAACAGCACCAAGCACAAGACCTCCCAATGCCTGGATCAAGGCAAGGAGGATGTTCGGCCTCGCATCAACTCGGGAAACTGAGTTGCGCGGGAGGTGATGCGACTCCACCTCTCAGTCCGCCAGATTCGGCCGCCTTGCTAGCAGCCTCCTACACATCTGGGGAGGATGTGAATGTCGCAAGTCCTCGGTTCACTTACGAGGATTATGCTGTCCACTTGATCCCACCGTTGGACCAACCACTCCACGTGCAACAATCCACCGCCTGTACGGTTTCACTACCATCGGCAACCGATTCGACAACTTCACTGTCATCTATCGCCGGGGATTCGACGACATGGTCAAGACTTGAAGAGCTCGACCCGTTGACGTTTGCGGACTTCCAATGGATGCGCTTTCCCCCGTCCGGTCGATTGCCAAAACCGCATTGCAACGTGCTCATGGCACAATTGCGGGATTACTTGCACACTGCAGTACCAACTCCATTGATGGACGCCTGAGTAGAGGTCGATCTTCACGCCTACATTGCAAAGATCGACCACGAGTTCAAGACACAACGGTACGACGACATCGACGCACCATTGTTGTACATACGCATTCAGATCGAAGAGGCGACCTGCAGCGCTTCGATCGATTGCGGAGCTACTCGCAACTACATGAGCCAAGACTTTATGGTACGCGCTGACCTTGGGCCACGCGTTCGGAGGAAGTCGCAGCCCACACAAGTCACGTTGGCTGACGGTCACATGCACAAGTCAATCGACCGGTGCATTTATGTCGTCCCCGTGTACTTTGCCCCGAATGCAAGCGAGGTCGCGTCCTTTGATATTTTGGACACCAAGTTCGACATGATCTTGGGCATGTCATGGTTGCGAAGCGAGGACCACCTGGTGAACTTCTACCGCCGCACCGTTTACGTTCGTGATCGGAACGGAGTACTAGTCCCATGCACGGTGCCTCCTCCTCACCCTTCGATCAGCTGCCACGTGGTGTCCGCCGCAAGCATTCGAGCTTCCATCATCCGGGATGACATCGAGGAGATGGGTGTGTGCTTTCTTCACGCCCTCCCGCCCCAAGACATTCCATTGACGGACTCACCACCGGACCCACGCATCACCGAGCTTCTCGACGCCTAGGGCGACGTGTTCGAAACACCGCACGGAGTAGTACCGGATCGGCCCATCCGCCACGAGATCCTCCTCGAAGACGGGGCCGTACCTCTGCGTGGTTGCATCTACCGCATGAGCGAGGAAGAGTTAAGTGTGCTAAGGGCACAACTCGACGATCTTCTCGAGAAAGGCAGAATTCGGCCTGGCTCTTCACCATACGGTGCTCCCATTCTCTTCGTCCGGAAGAAGAACAAGGAGCTGTGATTGTGCATCGATTATCGCAAGCTCAACGCGCAAACTGTCAAGAACGCCAGCCCTCTTCCGCGCATCGACGACCTCCTCGAACGACTGGGCGGCGCCAAGTTCTTCTCCAAGCTCGACCTCAAACCGGGATATCACCAACTCGAGATCCGGCAGGAGGACCACTACAAGACCGCGTTTAAGACGCGATATGGGCGTGCCTTTTGGCCTTACGAATGCCCCGGCCACATTCCAAGCGGCTATGACAACGGAGTTCCGACACATGCTGGATAGATTCGTACTCATCTACCTCGACGACATCTTGGTGTACAGCCGGAGTTTGGACGAGCATGTAGAGCACCTGCACACCGTTTTGGAGCAGCTACGACAAGCCAAGTACAAAGCCAATCGCAACAAATGCGAATTCGCGCGGCAAGAGCTGGAGTACTTGGGACACTATGTGACGCCGCAAGGCATCCGTCCGCTTGCGGACAAGATCGAGGCCATCAGCGTATGGCCCGAGCCCACCAACACCACAGACGTCCGTTCATTCATGGGGTTGGCAGGCTACTATCAACGCTTCATCACCGGGTACGCAAGGAATGCTGCACGTATGACGAGATTACAATCGCCAAAGGTGTCAATCGTATTCGATGACGATGCACGCCGATCATTCCAAGCACTCAAGACGGCCATGCTCATGGCACCCGTCCTTAGCATCTACGACCCCACCCTGCCAACGAGAGTGAGAACCGACGCTTCCGGCTATGGCATTGGGGCAGTCTTGGAACAACACGACGGCGACGACTGGCACCCTGTGGAGTATTTCAGCCACAAAGTGCCTCCCATCAATTCGCTTGATGATGCAAGGAAGAAGGAGCTGCTTGCGTTCGTGATGGCTCTCAAGTGATGGCGGCACTTCCTCCTTGAGCGTCGTAGGTTCATATGGGTCACGGACAACAACCCATTGACCTACTACAAGACGCAGGATACGGTGAGCAGCACGATTGGACGATGGATGTCCTTCATCGACCAATTTGACTTCACACCGAAACATCTCCCCGGCCTCTCCAATCGCGCAGCAGATGCACTCTCGTGAAGACCCGATCTTTGCGCTATGACACATCATGCCTTCGCATTTGACGAGGAACTCCAGCGACACTTCATCTGGGGCTATGAGTCCGATCCGGATTTCGCCACGTTGTATGCGCAACTATCTTTGGATCCCCCATCGGCCAGCCATTATCGCATCGTCGACGGGTACTTGCTCCTCCACTCGAGAGGCAAGGACTTATTGTGTGTCCCACGCGACCGTCGTCTTCGGACTCGCCTTCTCGGTGAGTACCATGACTCGCGACTCGCCGACCATTTTGGAATCAATCGCACTATTGCACGACTTCGGCAACGATTCCGATGGCCTGACCTCATTACCGATGTCACTCGGTATTGTGACTCTTGCGAAGTTTGCCGACGAAGCAAACCCCGCAACCGCAATCCCTACGGCGAGTTGCGCCCGATGCCTATCCCACAGGAACCCGGCCTCTCCATTGCCATGGACGTCACCGGTCCATTTCCCCCCGACCGGCTCGGGCACGACGGCATCCTCACAGTCGTTGACCGTTTGAGTAAGTATGCGCGATTTCTTCCTTGCAAGTACTACACCACGACTCCCGAACTTGCGCGCCTCCTACACACCAGCTGGATTTGCAGCCATGGCGTGCCGGAAGACATCGTCAGCGACCGCGACACTCGCTTCATGTCGGCATTTTGGACTTCTCTCATGCAGGAATCCGGCACGAAGATGAAACCAAGTTCGGCTCGACATTTCACAAACGGACGGGCAAACGGAGCGGGCACATCAAACCGCTCAAATGATGCTTCGTACGCTCATCCGTCCGGATCAGAAGGATTGGGTTGACCGCCTCCCCGACATCGAGTTCGCCTACAACACTTCGTTGCATCCGGCGATCGGCGTAACTCCATTCGAGTTGCACCACGGTGGCTGGAAAGGCCGCCGTATCTTCGCTGATTTTCTTCTCCCACGAACAGCTGCTGGTTGCTCACCCGCTTCCATTCGGAAATACAGGGAATTGTTGGCTCAAGCCTGCACGAACATGCAAAAGGCTCAAGTCCGCATGCAGCAGCAAGCCAACAGGCATCGCCTGCCATGTCCCATCCGCGCCGGTGATTTGGTGTGGGTCTCCGCGGAAGAGTTTGCACTCGAACATGATGTTTCACGCAAACTGCTTCCCAAGTGGTTTGGACCATGGCCCGTAACATCAGCCGCGGGCGATGAGCCCGATGGCCCCTCATTTGTGATAAACATTCCCCCGCATCTGACGGTCCATCCAGTCTTTCACGCCTCGAAGCTGCCAACATATACACCAGCCAAGAACGACGACTTCTCGGGCCGAAGATCGCAAGATCCTCCATCTATGGATGGTCATCAGGAGGTTGACCGAGTCATCACGGATCGCAAGTACGGCAGCAAGCCTCGACAGTACAAAGTTACATTCAAAGCATGCGATCCCGACGACACTCGGTGGATTTCAGGAACAAATTTGAAAGCATCCACACCGCCGATCTACGCTCACTACGAGCGACAAGGTTAGCTCAGGGACCCTCAGGGACCCTCACGACCTGCCCCTCCCACCCGGACTGTGGTCCCTCCCTCAGACATACAGCTTCGCCCTCGCAGGTAAGCTCGGTCTTTCAAGGAGGGGGGGGTGTGGCATACTGCGTAGCCACGGGCCTGCATGGCCTGTCCTGCAGTCTCAGCCTAAAAGCCTAGAAACAAGGGCTTACATGCCCCGTGTCGTTTCAGCCTGAAAGACTGAAAAACGAGGGCCTGCAGGCCCTATGTCGTTTCAGCCTAAAACAGGGCCTTTCAGGCCCTGAGTCTNAAAACGAGGGCCTGCAGGCCCTATGTCGTTTCAGCCTAAAACAGGGCCTTTCAGGCCCTGAGTCTTTTCAGCCTGAAACGGAGGGCCACTTTCGGGCCCTCATAAGATCGACCTGGCCTAACACTCAGGCACCAAACCAGGGTTTCGGAATAGGCTATTTTTGGCCTGTTCCCCACGCCAGCCTCAGCAGGACCTGCAACGGCAGGCTCTGGCTCACTTCGGCATTGGCAAGACCAGCCTCCTGGACTGCCCCGCCTTGCAGCTGCAGACAGTCAGGAGGCAGGCCGAGTAGTACATAGGGAGTTCCCATGCACTTCACGGGCAGTCAGAGGCCGAGGCAGTAGTAGTCTTCAGGATTCGGCAGCAGCACTCTGGAGGAGCGCTGCAAGAGTAGCTTAGCGCTAGCAGTAGTCTTCAGCGCTGGGCGCTAGTAGCAGTAGCAGTAGTCTTCAGCGTTGGACGCTAGTAGAGGTAGAGGAGGTGAGAGAGAGAGAGCTGGCTGGAGGAGGCCAGGGAGACTTACCTGTGGCGCCATAGCTCCATCTTCATCTTCAAGGTACCTGCATCAAGGCGCCAACTTCACAGGTTAGTACCGGACTAAGAGAGAGAGAGAGAGAGAGTTCTTCTTCTTCCTCTTCTAAGTCCACCATCTCTTCTTCACCCTCTCACTACCTGACTTCTCAGAGAGAGAGTTGTGACTTGAAACTTGATGACATTGGATCCAGACTCGACATTGGGATTCAGACATTTTGACGAGGGACTATTTCGGCCTGTGTCGAACACTTGGTGTTGATGACATTCCCATCTTCCCCTCTTCTTCGTCTAACCCCCCTCTTCTTCGTATGTGTATGGTTGGGGACTGGCGCATTCTTCCTGTGTGAGCGCCAGGCCCCTTCACACCATGGAGTGATGATGATGATGTATGTTCGGGGCTGCATTGCAATATTGATTGTTCGGATCATTAGTATCTAAGTCTTCCGCTACGCTATCTTGTACTTTGTGAGAGAGGTCGGTTCTTGTTCTGGTCTGCACCGTTACAGTATGCAACAGTGAGTGTGCAGAGTATGCGTGTGGGCTATCCAGGGTGATCCGGTGTGTGATAAGCAGTGACGAGTGAGTGACGAATAGACACTTGTGTGGGCGCTCGTCGCCATAGCCATCTGAAGCGAGTTGTATCCGAACTGTATTCTTGTTTGTCATATCTCTGAGTTTCGAGTGGGCGCTCGTCGCCAGTTTGCTGCGTATCCTGTGTACATGCATGAGAAGTGTGAATGAGAGCTAGTCTGATTGCGCGGGTCAGAATGAGTCAAATAAGGGTGCGAAGGCCACTCTGGCTCATTTACTTATTTTATTAATATAATAATAATGCAGCTTGAGCTGGAGAGCCGTGTGAAGGGCGACCATCTCGCACAGTTCGGAGAGCACTTCTTACAACCGTCTAGGCTTGACTCTTTCTTCGAGCCTAGTGGTGGAACTCATTGACTCTATTCGTGTTTTAATGGCTTTCAGTTCGTGCACAAGTTATCTGGATTTCTATGGAATTCTGCAATTTGGTTTCGTCCTTTCACATTGCTCATTTTCCTTGCACTTACGCCAATGTGAAGTGAGTCGCCAGTCCGAGCCGAGATTCTTGCAACAAGAAGAGACATGAATTGTGATAGTCCGTGGTGACTTTCCGGCAGTGGAGAATTATTCCAGGATAAGATTTCATCAATGAACGGATGCGTGAATACATACTCTTGGACTGCATGAAGATCTTGTTGATGAAGTTCACTGATGAACTGCACCTTGGTCTAGTACACCGTAAGATTGATGATTCCAGGTCCGGAGTTAGTGCTGATATGGGTGCCAACCACCTGATGGCGCATAGTGCCATCGGTTGCATAAAGATAAGAGACCACAAACTGCAAATGCTGTTCTAAAAGAGTGTCAGAGAGATGTGAAACAAACCGCTCCCACGACGAGGACCTCCAACTGCCATGCACATTTGTGCTGGCCTCTTGTCCTTGCAAGGAACCTGACTGTTCACAGCTTGCTTGAGAGCATCACACCGCATGCATACATGTCATCACCCATACAAAGTGGTAGCACACAAAACCAGACTGAGATGAGATAAGAACCAGTAGCGCAACTTATATTATCAATGTCATTGAATACAGAGAGTATCATGAGTTCCAGAGTTCAGCGCCAACAAGAGATAAGTCTCCCTCATCAAA